GGTTTCGACTCAAAAGATGATCCACATGAAAGTCATTTCAGAAACTTATGCCACAAATTTTAGTTTAAGTAAATATACTATTAAAAAGAATACAGAAGGATAAAGTATAAATATTGAATACCAATGCACTATTATTGCTATAGCAAAACAAAACTCCTAGCAATTCCCTATTTCTTGTCTTAAAAATATGCTGATCCTAACTTTTCAGTTTAGCAGAGACTATCTGTATTAATTTTCCTTCTTCTTCTGAGCATAAAATTATGTTACTGTCAAAAATGCCAAAGAACAGTCTTCTAATGAAAAAAGTACTGAAGATTTTTTATCTGTGCATTAACTAACACCAGAATGAACACTTTAATATGAACACTTACTGTAATATTGACAACATAGATGAACTATGTTGAGAAAGCTGTTGAGGTCTGAAAAAAGATCAAATCCAAGGTTTAATATGACACCTTGCCATTATGTTTCTACAGTATTTATGTTCTGTAGTTAGTAACTCAATCCACATAGGTTAGATTTTTTTAGAGTCAGGCTTTCTCTGAAACAGTGAGTCTGCACAGATCTCACTAATTTGCTGTCACAGTCCATTTAAAAAAAAATGGCATAGGTCTGTGACAAAGATGATGAGAAAGGTATAGTTACTGCAAGACAAAAATAAACACAAATGAATCAAGAAATCAAAAGCATGAAAGCCATATGAAAAAGAGTCTAAAACAGTGTTAAAAATTGCAGTGAGCTACCATTCTTTGTCAGGTTTAATTTTGCCCAAACTAAAAAGTCCCCCTGGATCAATATTACAACTCACTCTGTGAAGCTTAGAAGACACTCTTAGTGGAATGATATATTTATTTTATAAAGAACCCATAATTTTGTCCATTTTTTAGAAAGGATGTTGTTTAAACTTTTGCATATATTGCTCCATTTTATCAGTCTCAGTTAAAGCATCAGCTGCAGTTAGGAATAATACCTGGAATGTACAGTACAATCTCATGGAGAATAGGACAGTACATGCCTTATGAGCATCAAATTTATTTCTGAAATGTCCTCTAATGGCAGTATGTGTCCAGTATGACAACATGAAGTTTTAATTGCAGTCTACTGGTAAAAAAAATACGCATTTACAATAGCATCCAAAGACAAAACCAAAAGTGTCACATGCTCTGTGGTCTCCATATCAAGCATTTAATTTTGTCCAAGTTGTTTACTAGTTCTTGAAGCATATTTACAAAAAAAAAAAATACAATACATGAAGTGTTCTAACTGTGAAAGAAGAAACAACCTTAGAAATCAGTAGATTTGAGAAAATTCTCTTGAAGCATGTAACTTCTGTTCAAGTTTAGGGAACAGTGGTAGCTGCGGGTCACCACCAGGATTTGTAAGAAAGAAGTGCAATTTCTTTACTGTACTAAAAAAAAAAAAAAGGCAAACAAAAAACAAAAATATCCCAGTGTTTCTGCACTAATGCAGCTTATCTATTCAGAGAGTGGCACCTACAGAGTTGTTCAGTTCACCCAAAGTGGACATCTACACTGAAGATGGGCAGCTGAATCACTCTCTGGGTTGTGCTGACTCCATTAGCAAGGATTCTGCAATCTTTGATGAGTGCTTAGATGCTTAGCTCATACCATACATACACCTACATTTAGACATCTTAATATTAATCTGAATCCTACACCTTGCTTTAACATTTTATTAGTTTAATATTCTCACAAACGTGCTGGGAGAAACTAGAAGAAGGAAAAAAAGTCAACCTTTCTTCCATTTTTTTTAACCACCTCCAATTTCCTCAACAGTCTGAATGTTTCTTAAGGACAATATTTATACTGTATAGTCTTAGTGTTCCTATTGAATACACTGAAAACAAACTGGTTTGTGACAGATTCCTGTAGGGAATAACACAGAATATGGGCCACTCTGGTGCCAAAGTTTACACAACGTGAATGTCTTCTCCTTTCCTCCCACAAAGGAATCAGTTGATAGAATGCTTTTATTTCCGAGAAGAAATAAGTTATTTTTAACACTTTTCATGTTTCAGGAAATAATATAGTTGAAGAATTTTGAAAATAAATGCTGAAATACTTAAAGGCATGTTGGGGGGGAAAGATACTTTTTAAGCCCCTTTGAAGCCAATGTCATCAGTGTAAATGAATATTCCTGTCACTCATTATGAGGCCATAAACATACCTAGTTGAAAATATTCCACTCTTTTTGAATTCCCCACATAACCATGTTAACTCAATAACTGCTTTTATATGATAAAAACATTCCTCTTTCCCACTGCCTACATCATTACAAATAATAATAATAAAAAAAAACCCACAAAACACCGGTGACTGGAAAGCATTATTATAAAACTCTTGACAGGTGTATGGATTAAGTGGGTGTTTAAAACTTGCAATAGTACTGCTTTCGATTCCAGGAAGAAAACTTAGCAATCATTTTAATTAAAAAATATTCTCTACTAACCAGATGTAGATCAACGCATGTAGAATTGTGTTCACAAGCATTGATTATGCAGTCATCAATATCCTGGTCACATTTCAGTCCAGCATATCCTGGGTTGCACAAACAATAGAATCCATCGACAACTGTAACGGAGAGTTTTTTAGTATTAGGAGTGTTTTAGAACAACAACCAAATGTAGCAAAATTAAGTAAGTTAGAGTTATGACTACTATCTGGAAAAGATTTGGACTGGTTTTACCTAAAAGGTGTGGACATGTTCAAAAATTGAAGTAAATGAAATGCAGTATCTCAAAACACCTTTTTAATATGAAAGTAGATTCACGTACTGCATTTTACTTAATTCAAATATTTTGACTTAAGAATTATAAATCAATGCCCCATTACTAGGTTCTGTAAAAGTGATGGCATCTTATAAGCTAATGAGTAATCTTCCATCACAAAACTGTACACAAAGTACATAAGATTTTATCTTTGATATTGTACCTAAATGAGATGGAGCACTTAAACATTGTTTGCTTTGTTGAGATTTTTTTTGTAAGGAATACCTCATATTATACCACTATATTAAAGGAAAACTGCGTGAGTTGAATTTGGCAGCTCATCCTTTTATGTATTTCCATGCTTCATTTTAATCTTAACAAGCTAATGATAAGTATCCTCTCCCTTTTTCATCATTAATGATCCAAACGGAGAGGAATCTTTAGAGTGCTACATCCATGTGAGGAGCTTGTGACAGCAATAATTACACTTCTTGCAGGCTTGTATTTATTCTGACCTCAAAGAGGTCCCTGGACTCTTCATTATCGCTGAGATTTACCATGCAATCTGTGCTACCATTGTGTCTGTACACAGAGCTACTATGCATTCATTAAATGCTTTAAGTCCTTCAGAGCAGGAACATTATTTATCTGATAAGAGCTTCCTAGCTTCCTCAGGATTCCAGCTTTCTGCTGCCAGCACATGTAGTGTAGAGGAACTGAGATATCCATATGATACAACTCAAGTCCAGAGGCACCAGAAAGACAAGTTGTCTCTAAAAGATCTGGCACTTTGTGAGCACGAAGAAATTTACTGCAGCTCACCTAAATTCCAGTTCAAAAATGCCTCTGCACCAATGTAGAGTATATAGAAAACATCTGTAAACTTATTAAGAAATAGTCTTTACTAGATAAAATATAAAGTCACTCACCTTATTCCCATGTATGGAAAGATAGAATTCTTAAAGCTTATTGAAACTATTTTTTTAAACTAGGAGAGTTTTAGGCAATGATATATTTAGTAATTCAGAGTCAGTTCTTTAAAATCGCATCTGCAACCAGTAACTTGATTAGATCTTCTACAAATTTGTGAAAAAATTGGAATGTCAAGGAAATTCTCAAGTCATCATTCTCATTTTAAAAAGGATGTAGAGAAACAGGAGAGAGATGTAGCAGAAGACAAACACAGTTGCCCAGTGCTTGAATTGTGGGACCTATGAGGAAAAGTTGAGTCAGCCAGGCTTGCTTTGCATCAGTCCCTTAGAGAAGGTTTAATAGTTAAAGGGTTATATATAACAATAACTTCAAGGGCAGTTGCACAAATGACACAACTGAATTCCTCTTAGTAGTGTTAGATGATATAGTAAGGGGCAATAGTCAAAAGTTCCAGTTTAGGAGATTCAGTTGGGGTTGGGAGAGGGGGAACACTGCAAGAGTAGTGTGTCAGTGGAACAGGCTGTCCCAGAGTTTGTGGAAATTCTGTCCATACTTAGAGACTTTCAAAACTCAGCTAGAAAAATCCCTGACTGACCTGTTCTAGCACTGCTGATAGTCCAGCTTCATGTGAGTTTGACTACATGACCTCCAGATGTCATTCTGCTTTCCAGCCAGCATTATAAGATTCTCTGAAAATTACCACTTTTACTATTTTTTACCAAGCATAGAAAGAGTCTGATAGGTGGTAACAGCCCCATAAAACTTTCCAGTAAGTACTCCATATATAATGAGTGCTACTAAACATAGCCTGCCAATCCAGACAGAATATAGTAGAGCAATTAATCATCAAGTTGCTTCTAAAACCTTTAAGAATATCTATCAGCGAAAGTGTAAGTTACAGAGGAGGTGATAGAAGGTGAGGAATAGTAAACAGACACTCCATTTTGCATTAGTTTGATATTTAATGCAGTTTTTGGATTCACTAGAATTATGACATATACTGCCTAAACTCTCCATGAGCTCCTTTTCAGCACCTGAATATTCTCTCATTGAATGCACACTGTAAGATGTGTTTGTCTATTTTAGGTATCAAAGGAGACAGCACAAATCTCATTAAAATTCTCATTAGCTGCAATTCTGACCCTCTGAACACACAAACCCCAGCACCAGGAGTTGAAGCATTTTGCCAAAAATAATCCTCCCTGTACTGGCTGCGGAGCTTCAGACAAGCTAAATATCAGTAAATTATCCGCTGTTCTCCCCAGAGTGGCTCAGTAGCTACAGAGGCTTCAACAGAAAGACTGTTGTACATTGAAGTGAGTAACCAGGCTGAACTCACTGTCATAGCAGTATCCGTGGAGGCAAGGGTTAGAACTGCACTCATTGACATTGATCTCACAACGTGGACCTGCAAAGCCCTTTACACACTGGCACTGGAATCCAAGGGGAAAAATGTCCAAATTCATTTCTTCTATGCACACAGCTCCGTTCTCACAGGGATTGCTGGCCTCACAAGGCCTAAACTCACAGTTCAAACCTGAAAAGGAAAATGGCAAAGCTGTCATGGTTTAACTAATGAACATATCCCTGCAGCTGCTGCCTATTATGAGCTGTATTTTCCTTTTATCCCTGGTTAAAATTGAGTTGAAGGGTCTCAGAGGTACATATATGTATATTACCATGCTGAAACATTGATTTGCTTTGTAGAATTACAAACAAAAAAAGGCAATTTTATCTGTTTTGTTTATATAATGACATTGCATTTTAAAATCATAATAGTTATCTTAATATATTTTATAGTATTTTTGTTTACCCTTGTCCTCTGAAAGGTCTCAAAAAGTGTATTTAAAAATAATTAATGAATTTTGTTTTGAAGCTTCCTGTTATTTATCCTTGATATCCTGTTGTCACAGCTACCATGAGTTGCTTATACATTAACCCATAATCCTGAACATGAATGAAATGCAAGTAACCTTGCTTAATTGTTCTGCTTGCAATTCATGACGACACTCAAATTATTTTACTGAAATTACATGTGTATTTAATAAGGGGTGACTGCCTCCATAATTTATAAAAATTCAGTACAATAAAAATCTCAGACAGTCCCTTTCTACTCTTTCCTAACAAACACTCTAGTGTATAACAGATTATGTACATTTACCTGGACTAATCAAGGAACTGTGATGGTGATCTTGGATTGCAGATACCCTCATCTGAATCTTTAATTTGCAATAAATAGATCAAAAAGGATTAAAAAGCCCTTTAAAGTGAGTTTGCTAGAACAGAAGCAAGACTGATTCAGGTTTTCCAATAGTGAAACTCAAAACAATGAGGGCAGACAGAACAGAAATCAAATGGGTTCGGGTTTGTAAAGCTGCCTCATTTTTCCCTCAGTGTTGCTGAAGGCAAGCGTTTTCTTTCACTGAGCTGGATGGCTTTCAAGGCTGCAACAAGCTGTGCACAAGCCCCTCTGAGCCCCTTTGAAGTCCATCTGCCTTTCTGTGACTGCTGAGGCTGGGCTGTGTCTATGCTATGCTTCCTGGCGGAACTGCCCAGGGTGTGCTGTACCCCAGGCCCTTTGCCTGCTTCCCCAGTGCCCTTGCCCCGGCGCAGGTTGCCCAGCCATTCCTTCCTGGAGCAGCTTCTCCCTACTCCAACCACCTCCCTCTTCTTTAGAAGAGGCTGTAGCCTTAACCCAGTTGTCACGCTGACAGATGCCCACCCAGACACTCTCTCACTCCCTCTCAACAGGATGGGTGGAAAAAGATGGAAAAGCTTGTGGGTCAAGATAAAGATAGGGGCATCACTTACAATTACTGCCACAGGCAAAACAGACTCAGCTGGAGGAAAACTGATCATATTCATTGCCAATTAAAAATAAGATAGGATGGTGAGAGACAAACACAAAACACCTTCCTCCATCCCCCTCTTCTCCCCAGACTCAGCTTCACTCGTTCACTCCAGACTCCTCTGCCTCCTCCCCACCCCTGAGCAGCACAGGGGATGGGGAGCAGGGGTTGGTCCGTAACATTTCCCCTGTGCCCCTCTCACACTTTTCCCCTGCTCCAGTGCAGACCCCACCAGCAGCCACAGTTCCTGCCAGGAGCCTGCTCCACCATGGCCTTCCCCAGAGCCTGCAGGAGCATTTCTGCCCAGGTGCCTGGAGCACCTCCTCCCCCTCCTCCTCTCACCTCAGTGCTTGCAGGGCTGTTCCTCACATTTTTTTCCCCACTCCTCACTGCCTGTGCAGCGTTTTGCCCTTTCTTAAATGCATTTTCCCCCAGGCACCCCCACCCTGTCAGCGGGGCTGAGCCCTGTCCTGCGGTGGGTGGGCTGGAGCCGGCTGGAACCGGCTGTGGCC